TACAGCCATTTTTCGCTTCCGCTAGATTGTGCGCGCAACAGCGCAGGTCTGAAAGGTTGCCCAGTCAGGCCCTGCAGCATGCTGCGCTGGTATGGCTGCCAAATTGGAATCCATACACACACCACAAACAGTGCTCCAACAAACAGCATAGCTGCTCCTTGCTGGGGTTTGGCCCGCCACTGCGAGCCGTGCTCTGCTGCAAGCTGCCTGCTCAAAGCCGCTCAAGGCGGCCCTGTATCAGCTAAACACACAACTGTATGCCCAGCCAGCGCAAACAGCCTACAATCAATGCAAAGCGCGTTGCTGCCTTCCGGCTCTGTCCAGAGAAACTGCCTGCCCCATGCCTCCAGCCGCACTGCAGTTGCCTGCTGCGCTGCTGTCCGCACTTGCTTGCTGCTCTCCTTCCATGAATAACTTGGCGACTGATACTGTTAGCACTACTTTGAGCTCGTGAGTGGGGAGTGTTTCGTGATGGGCAAGCCACCCATCCCCCTGCCTTCTCTGATGCATCCGTGTTGGGTCCAAAAGCACCCCAGCAACATTCGCCCCATGCAGATCATTGGACAAAACCGTCCCCAACCAAAAATCCAAAAGCAGTAGCAGTAAGAAAAAATTTTTGGCTTAGTCGCGAAAAAAGATAAAGCTCCAGTCTCTGGCGCTAATCGATCAGACGCACAATTAAAACCAGCCTTCTTGCCATTGCCAGGCACGCACAGAGCAATGGCCAAGGCGCAGAGGCAGTTCTTTGAAACTGGAATTGAAATACACATGCTTACAAGACATGGCCTGCTTTAAGCCTATTTTAAACGACATCCACGAACCAGGACAAACGTTTAATCGCGATTTATGCACCCGCTTGCATCGCTCGCACTTTGAGCCCATTGCCTGGCACTTGCTTAAACAGCGTGGTGGCTAAAGAATTTCCTGTTTGGCTCTGCGACTGCTTTCATGTGTGTGATTTTGTGCCAATAACGCATGAATACGCAATGGTTGTATATTTGCGCAAACAGTAGGCGACCGAAATAGTGCAAGAAGACAGTTAAAGGCGTGCTCTGGCAATTGGAGAAAATCACGCCACAGATACAACAATCCAGCACCGCCAAAGACTACCAATTATCGAAGCGCGTGCTAATACTCGGGCGCTAGAGAGACCACAATGCGGCAGTCACGCTCTGGATACTTTGGACTGACGGTGAGGCTGTGCGTGCAAGGCATAACGACTGGATTGCCATGCTCATCAAGGTGGTCAGACGAAAACAGCGAGTCGGGTGGCATAGCAAAATCGTAGTCCTTCAGCAAGTTAGCGATAATAGTCATCATCTCGTAATGAGCAAGATTGCGACCAGGACAGATTCTGACGCCAGAGCTAAAGGTCAGCACATTGGCTTTGGCCTTTTCGTCGTTGATAAAGCGCTCTGGTATGAACCTACGCGGATTATCCCAAGTGCCTTGATGATGGTTTGCACCAGCGACATTTATGCCGATCTCCGTACCTGCTGGCAAAAAGTGCCCTTGAAATGTGGCGCCACCCTCAGGCACAACGCGAGGCAGGGGAACGCCAGACACAGCACGTATGCGCATGGATTCATAGATACAGGCATCGATGTACGGTAGACGTGACTTGCCCTCGGCGTAGGTGATAGTGTGATGGCGGGGAAATGCAGTACGCACTTCCGCAGTTGCCTTGTGGTAAGCTGCAGGATAGAGCATCAGGTAGTGCAACGCCCAGCTCATAGTCAGCGACGTAGTATCAGTTCCGCCAATCAAGAATCCGATGTTTTCGGCTGTCACCTGTGTCGCAGTCATTTGAACCTTTGACTCGGGATCCTGGCCATCAATGAGAATTTGGAGCACATCCTTGGGTTTCTCGATCTCGCCTCGGCGCAGCTGCTCGCGGCGACGCTCAGCAGCAGCATTTCCAAAAGCCGCAAAGTCGTCTCTGCTCTGGATCAGCCGGCGCACTAGCAGGTTTACGGGGAATGATGTGGCACGATCATAGACTACGCGGGCCACAGCTAGTTTATTATAGTCGTTAACCCAGTCGACGATCTTTGCAGTGTCGTTGCGCAGTGCGTTGAATCGCTGGCCGTAACCCAGGGCGCCAATAATGTCAAACGTAGCCATGGATAAATGGAGCGCATAGCACACTGTAGCCGATCCTCCGCTAGTCGACTCAGCAATTGCCTTATCCCACTTGGCCTTTATAGCATGGATGCCACATTCGAGGATAGTCGGCTCCATTTCGTTCAGGTATCCGTGCGTGAATGCTGGTCCGACTTGTCTGCGCCGCACATGGGTTAGATCGGCCGAGTGTGTGGTAAACATGGTTTCGTCAATGAGCGCGAATGCTTTATACATGTCGCTTTTAATAAACCGATGCGTGCTGAGTACTGTGCGGCAGTCTGCTGGATTGCTGAGGATCACTATTCTGGGGGCCATCATAAATATATCGCCAAATGCGTAGTAGTCGGCCTCGGATACTTCGTACAAACGGCCAAAGAACATGGTAAAGCGCAATGGCAAAGGCGAGAGACGGAACAGGAGCCGCCCGGGAATGTGGCGGTAGGGCGAGAAAAACAAGTTGTAGACAATGTAACTGCCAGCAATGACGCCTGCTGCACCGACTGCCAGCTGGGCATAGAGCAATGCCTCTTGTTGCCACAGGCGCTCAGCAACGAGGCGCAGATTAATGAGAATAAGTTCGTAGATGGCCATGTTTGAGATGTGTAGATGATACAAAAGAAAAGGAAAGGAGGAAATAAGCGCACGCATTCGATTTCTTATAGGCAATTTTTTTGTCGCCACTTAAAGGCAAATACATCTGCATCTGCATGTGCTAGCAATGCGGTGCGGTGAAAATCGTCCAATTTTTCTTACTCCTCTCTTATGTAGTCGCAAAAATAAGCGGAATGCCGGGGAGGCACATGCGCGCTGACCAGAGATTGACAATCACCAATACTTTCCGCTTTTTAAGAGCAAAAAATGGTCCGAGCGCATTCAGCTTGCGAGCAGACGACATGCGCGCTTGCTGCACTGGGCGAGAAAAAAATAGGCAATGTGAACGATGTCTAAAAGCAATAGCACATAGCTGGGTTTACAACAACTAGCCACATCCGACCACCACGGCCGAGAGCACTTCAAAAAGAGGTGTACCAACAAATTGGTTTGAGTTGTGCTCGGTGCTGGCGAGAAATGCTGCGCAAACTGAAGTGAGCCTAGAGCAATATATGGCAGCAGAGGCATCGCCAAAAAATATATATAAAAGGAAACTAAAAAGTATGCCTGCTGCCAGAATTGAACTGACGACCTCTGCTTTCCTCCCGGTAAAAGTACGAGAGCAGCGCTCTGCCCCTGAGCTAAGAAGGCGTATCTTTTCTCTGATAGTAGTAAATTTTTCGAGATTTTATTTGATAATCTTTCTAGCCATTCTCTACCAACAAATGTCGACACCTGGCAGCCGTCTTCATTATTTTGCCGATTCTTCTCTCTCGCAAGATGCTGACACCGCAAGCGCCTAGAACAATCTCATTTCTACAGATCTGCTGACCACTTCAGACCCTAAAGGATGACGTGTATTCTTTACTTTCTATCAAAAACTAACCATGTTATTCCTTAAATAATAGTGCCTCGTAGCACCAAAAATAAAATAAAATAAAATAAAAATAAGGCAAACGCTGACACCTGTTCTCCCATCTAGCTGATGCCAGCCACTGCTGCCACCAGCCTGCTGCCTGGCTTTGTGCCCACGTTCGGCCACTTCCAATCCCTCCCCGCCCCTAGTCCCACTCCAGCTCTATTTATTCCTGGTGCTCAGGCTGGCCTCATCCACAGAGATCCAGATTACCTACTACCAATGTCATGGCTCCAGCTCCCACTCACAACTTGCGTGCACCTACAGCTATTGAAAATGGCAAAAGGCCAGTGAGTGAGAGCCTACAAATTAGTAGGCCTGTAATTGTGAGGACAGATATTGTTGGCCAATGAATCGCCAACAGTCAAGACTCGTTGACCCGTCGTTAGTCACGACCAAACCACGTGATGAGCGGACTTGGATTCTCGGATATAGATGCGCGTTTGCTGAGCTGTCCACTCCTTTCTGTAGCTTTCTTTGTGGATTCAACGGTTCCGAGCACAAGCTGGAGAATTGGTCGAGTAAATCATTGTCCTGTTTCTTTTTCACTTAATTTTTAGCAATTTACTTATTACACATACCTCTATACCTAACAACAATGAGGAGGCCTACAAAGGCTCGCCGCGACACCTATAAGCAGCAGAGGGCCTTGGAGCTCGAAAACAATCCCGCTATAACAGTGCCAGAGATTGAGTTGCACTACCCAGGTGCATGCTTGAGGCACATCCCTGACATTGTGGCTCATTGCGCACGTTCTTGAACATTGCAATGCACATAAATTGGTCAGTGACAAAGGCCCGATCTACGGTTTCCGCAGGGTGGGCAAGCATGTTGTCAGTGTCTCCTTCTGGTCGAAAGCAATCCGTCAGATCATGATAGCGCACCCACCAACTATCAATGGTGTGTCCATTCCGTGGCGCACTGGGCAGGGTATCATTTGCCCTATAGTCGCATGCAACATACCTCTAGACAAGTTGGAGGGCCAGATCCATGGCGCCATCTGATCTGTTTGCAATGGCGCTGGCTGCCTGGTATGCGAAAAGCTCCTGGGCTACTTCTGCGCCGACTGGTCAGCACTGATCTACCTCAATGATGGACAGCCGATCTCTGCAAGCTTCCAGTTTTATTGTGAAAAGCGTCCTGCGTCGATCTTACCTGCACTGTAAACTTCTACTTGTGAATGCTGTATTAAAATAATAAAAAGATGAAAAGAAAAAGAAAGAATTGTCTACCGATCAATTCTCCAAAACTTATGCTCAGAGCCGATGACTTTACAAAGGAAAACTATAGAACGAAGAGCAAGCAACTCAGCAAATGTTCATCTGTATCCACAGTTCCATCTTCTCATCACGCGTTTTAGCCATGACTTGCTAGTCAGCGAGTATTGATCATTGGCGCGTCATCGGCCAACACTAGTAGTATATTGTACACACCAGTGGCATAAATACTATCCGCTTGTTTTGCTGTCATCCCGTCCTTTTTGCACTCACACTGGCGCTAGAAAGTTGCTACCAACGCAGCGGGTGCAGCTAGTTGAATTCAGTTACTGATAATATTGTGATAATGATGAAACTATTGCTCGGATTAAAGGGGCTCAAGGCTCATCTGCGCGTACATGTCCTCAAGCTTGTCGTGATTGTGGTCGCGGATGTCGCTGCGCTTAAGCTTCATCGCTGGCGTCAACCTGTCGTTCTCAGGAGACCAAAGCTCGGAGTCAATGCGAATGGCAGCTAGCGTTTCCTGCTTAGACAAGTTGTTGCGCTTAGCTACTTGCTGCAAATCAGCCAAGACATGAGCGACAAACTGCTTGTCAGATGCAATCTCCGACGGATTGTTGTAGTGAACTCCAGCTTCGTCAGCCATATGTGCAATCAAGTTCTCGTCAATGTTGACGATGGCGCAAGGTTGGGTCATGCGCGAGTCAGCGAACACGCAGATGTTGTGGATAAAGAGCGAGTTCTTGTAGGTCGACTCGAGTGCCTCCAGAGCAATGTACTCGCCGCTAACAAGCTTGACTAGGTTCTTTCTGCGATCAATAATGGAGAGCTGCCCCTGCTCTGTCCACTCGCCAATATCGCCGGTCTTGAGCCAGCCGTCCTCGGTAACTGTCTCCTTGGTCAGCTCGTCGTTGTCCAAGTATCCCTTGAAAATCGAGGGACCGCGAATCCAGACCTCGCCCTGGCCGTTCCGCGCAAAGTACTTGGCTTCGGGCACGTCGACCAGCTTCATCTCAACAGACGGGCACGGAGAGCCAACATTGTTGAACGATGAGTCGCTCGGTAGCTGAACAGCAACCAGGCCCGAAGCCTCGGTCAGCCCAAAGCCCTGAATCATCGGACACAAGGCAGCGGTCATGAGCTTTTGTACGTTGCGGTTAATCGGGGCACCGCCGGTAATGACAAACTTTAGGCGTCCGCCGGTAGCCTCGCGAGTCTTTTTGAACACGATGCTGTCCATGAAATTGTGCGGCATGTTGTACCCGCGCAGCGTATTCTTGAGCTCAACTGCACTGTAAAAGAGCTTGCGCACGAGCCAGCTGCTCTTGTCGACTTGCTTGAGCATGCCCGCGCGAATCGTGTTCCACACCTGGGGGACCCCCAGCATGACCATGGGGCGCAGTGCCTTGATGTCGCCCTGGCACTCACGCACGCTCTCGTCGGTCAGCGTGCGCGGTGTGCCATAGCCCACAGCCAGGCCCGAGTAAATGCAGTACACGTCGACAAAAAAGGCCAGGACGTGCGAGAGTGGCAGATATGAGAGCACAACGTCGTTGTAGAACTCGAGGTACGGCTGGATAAACTCGTGGATGCCGCCAGCGACCGACATGACGCCCTGGTGGCTGATCAGAACGCCCTTGGGCTTGCCCGTGCTTCCGCTAGTGTACATGACTAGCGCAATGTCTTGGCCGTCGGCAAGTGCGGGCTCGACAGGGCTGGCTTTGCCCAAGTCGTGCACCTCGTCAATAGTCGAGACGCTAAACTTGGCCCGGACTTTCTCGATGGCCTCCTCGCAGCCCTTGGGCATACCATACAGGTCTTGGTAGTAGACCACGTGCTTGACGGTCTCGATCTGGTCCATGATACGGGCCAGGACGGGCATCTGGTCGGCCTTGAGAAAGACCAAGTCGACCTTGGCCTGGTTCATCGCATGCAGCAGGCCGCTTTCGCCGAGTGTATCGTAGGCAGTGACGATTTGCATGGACTGTGCGAACGAGCCTATGAAAAAAGAAGT